TGAGCAGATCGACGGCCTCTTGCCAGCGGTCCAAGATGATCAGACAGGTGGCGTGGGCAAAGGTCGCTTGATCGTCGCCGGGGGCCAGGGCTCCGTAGGCCACGTATTCGTCGACCGCTTGGGCATAGCGCTTTTCTCCTGCCAAGGCTTCGGCATAACGCTTTCGAACTTCGGGAACGTCGGGCGCCAGATCGACGGCATCACGGAGATGGCCGAGGCCGCGCTCCAGATAACCGTTTTTGATCTCCACCGCCCCAAGGGTGCTTTTCAGCCGGGCTTTCGGCGCCTTGTCGCGGGTTTTGGAAATGGCTGCCAACAGTCGATCGGCGGCTTCGTCGCCCCGTCCCAGCTCGGCGAGCAGAAGGGAGCTGGAGGTCACCAGCTCAATCGCCAGGGGACGGTCCGCCACCAATTGCTCGAAATGCTCGGAGGCTGCTTTCAGCTCACCGCGACCCATTTCAGTGACCGCCAATCGGTAGCGCACGTCGGTGCGGGAAGGATCTAGCTGGAGGAGCCGCTGGTAGAGCTCGGCGGCACCCTTGAGGCGTTGGTTGCTGGCCAGGATCACCGCCAGATTGAACAGAGCCTGGGGCTGATCCGGTGAGATCTTCAGGGTCTGACCATAGAATTCGATGGACTCTTGAATGCGGCCTTGGGCCTGACGCAGCAACGCCATGTTGAGGTGGGCGCGGGCCCGCTGGTCGCGGGTGGCGGAGCTCAAATCCGTGACCCGAGAGAATTCTCGCTCGGCCGCTTCCGGATTGCCGTTGACGGCGTGGATCCGGCCGCTCAACAGGATGCCGTCCAGATTGTCGGGCTGCTGAGCCAAGAGAGCCGCCACTTCCTTGGTGGCATCGTCGGTGCGTCGGACCTCCATCAGAGCCCGTGCCAAGCGCAGGCGACCGTCGGCGTCGCGGGGGTCCAGCTCGACGACCTTCTGCAGGTGGGGAATGGAATCCTCCAACCGTCCGGAAGTGGCCAAAACCCGAGCGAGGCGAGCCCGCGCCTCGCGGAACTCGGGTGCCAGCTCCACGGCCTTCTGCAAATGGGGGATGGCTGCTTGGGGATTGCCGGACTTGGAAATCGCCACGGAGCCGAGCTCCAGGTAGGCCGATGCATTGGAGGGATCGCGTTTGAGGATCTCCCGAAATTCTTTTTGTGCGCCATCGAGATCTCCGCTCTCCGCAAGGGCTTTGGCCAGGGAGCGA